TACATTAACCACCCCACTTCCCGCAGGGCAGAAGAAGGGGCAGGTCTGACGGGGCTGACTGATCAGGCGTGACCCCTGGGGACCGAGCTCTCTCCCACAGGCACTCCCTGCGTGGTGACAACACGCCAGTTGTCTGAGAGCTGTCTTCATTTCGGCAGGGTGGGTCAGGGTGGCTGTGCCACAGGATTATCCCAGGACCCTGCGGAGGCAGTCCCCTGGTGGCTGGCCGGAGCCCGGTAGCGGGAGGGGCAAAGGGGCCAGGCCAGGGCCAAGGAATTTGTGAGAGTATCACAGCTTTCAATTCCCAGCAGAAATCAGAAAATCTGATCTTGCACATCTAAGAACAGCCGTTGGTTTCGACTGTGAGAGGTGCCAAAGTAAAAGCTATAATTATTAGTAAGTAACAAGCAGAAATTAACCACCTACTGCAAAGTCATTTTTAGCTGCCATCCCAACGTGGAAATGGAAAGGTGGGCACCAAGAAGCTGCTTGCCTTGGGAGTGGCTGTGGCTCGATTCTGAATGATTGTGGCTGTATGCATTTCCAGTGGTCAGCAGTAAGGTTTGCATTCTAAAGAAGCTGGACGGTCCTAGAGAGAGGTGTCATGAGGCGCAATAAACATCAAATGCTCTAATTCAGCCTCCTGACTCCTGCCCTCCTGCGAAGTGGAGGAAATTACCTCTCTGACATCCTTCATACGACGATGAATATACAAATGGCACTGGAGGATACATGGAACTTTCAGGAAAAGAGACCATAAAAATGGGTAGCTGCTTTCTAAATATCACACGAAGCCCAGATGCCGTAAACAGAAGATTGATAACAGTATTTAAAAAAACTGGCAAGAAGACAAAAGACACAAACAAAATTAAAATGAGGGGAAATATTTCTAGCACATATCACAGACCCAAGGCACATTTTTTTGACAGATAATAAATGCTCACAAATCAAAAAGAAACACTCGGTATCTAAGAAGATAAATGGGCAGAAGCCATGAACAGACAACGGAAATGCCGTTTTCACCTTGAGAGTGGCAGAGATCTAGAAGTTCGATGATTTGTGTGGTGGCAAGGATGTGAGAAAACGGGCACTCACACATTGGTGGCTGGAACGTAAATTGGCACAATTCTGTGGAGGCAATCTGACAAAAGGTATCAAATTAAAGAGCACACACCCTTTGATCCATCAGTTCCATTTTAGGAGTTTATCTTACAGATACGGCACAACACATGGAAGGATACTTACTAATGCATTATCCGCATTGTAACAGCAAAATATTAGAAATAATCTAAGTGTTAAATCAAGGGTGTACTGGTTAAACTATGGCACATGCATGCAGTGGATTTCTCCTATGCTGCTGTTACAAAGTGTGAGTGGCCTTATATTATCTGTGCTGATAAGCAGTGGTCTCTGAGGGTGCGTAGCATCTCTGGAAGGTGTGGATGGCTAACTGTGGGTGCCTGTGGGTGAGGGGGACTGAGGCTCAGTGGGAGAAGGGACCCTTTTTACTCTACGTCTTTTGTACCTTTTCAATTATGTACCAAATGCATGTATTATTTATCCAAAGATAATTAAAAAAAATTGTCACATAGGTCCAAACAAGCCAAGGAACAAAACATGCGGAACCCAGGCAGGTCGGCCACTGGGGGTTCTGGTGAAGAGCCTGAGGCCCTGGGGTCACAGGGGTCCAGGTCAGGAGGAGGGGGGGCTGAGGGAAGAGGGTGCCCAGGGCTCAGGTCCCATCACAAGGGCAGGGAGGGACGCTGTGTGGTCAAGCATTCCTGCTCTGCCTCAGTCAGTGTTCCCACGTGGCCTCTGGCCCAACCCCTCAGAGAGCAGATGAGGGTTCAGATGTCCTATTCATGATGTCTTTGCCATTCAAGTGGACCAGGCACCCTCTCATACAATAGAGTGGAAATATGAGGTCACCTCAGAATGACCCACCATGGGCTCCCATCACAGGCTCTCACTATGCTCAGCTCACCAGGAAAAAACAACCAAAAGAGAAGAGACTCACAAACGCCACAGAAATACCATGGCCTTGGGCGTTAGGCTTTGATCTAACTAGCTTCTTCTAGAGCATGCAGAAGTTATAGAATCTGGCAGTACTGCCAGAGCTGGTGACGGATGCAGATGTTAGCTGGTTTCCATCAGCTGTCAAAAAACACGGGTCACTTTTATTTTGCCTCAGAGCAGTTGAGCTCAAACCACATATGGTAAAACTTTACAGTTCAGTGAGGCTGCCTGTTTTTTTGAATTTCTTTTGGATTTAGCTCTTCAAAGACTATGTGAATATGTGCTATGCTTCTAAATCTTGACTCAAAGTCATTGCTTTGAAAGAGTCAATATGGCACAAATCCTATAAAGACTCTAATTTACCCCATTCGTTCATATTACATATAATGTTCACTATAAGCACACAAGCACCATGCATATTCTGCCCAGAGTTTATAAGGCAGGGATGGCATTCGATTCCATAAGTTCAATCCTGTCAACTTGCAGAACGTTAAAAGCCATCCCCGCTAACTAGCAATGAGTGTCCTACAGGCTATGGCAATGAGACATGGATGTCGCATGTTACATGCAAATTCAAGGATAGCTCCGATGTTCTAACAAGCAGCTGCAAAATTTCCTCCCAAGAGTCAGGGCAGGCCACACAAGGGGGAACAAAGTCTGGGGAACTGAGTGAGGAGCAGCCGGCCCCCGGGTGAAGCTGTCCTGGAACTTAGGGACGCTCGCTAGGTCATTAATTTTTCCAAGAAGCAAGCAAGAGAAGCAGTGGCTGTGAGGTCCAGGGAGCGAGTTCCAGCCTAGAAGAAAGTCTCTGGCCCTTTCGGTTTTTCAGACGTTGGCCCTTCAAAAACTGGACTTCATGCCCAATTTGAAAGCCAGCCCTGTCCCCACACTGGCCCTGCAGGTTTGGCCAGTCTCTCTGGTGGCTGGACAGTGAAAGCTTACTCCTTTCTGTTCTCTGAAGTCACTGCTCAAGAAGGCGGCTGATGAGGACAGACAGGCCTGGACTGGGGAAGGGGCTTTTCTGTAAGAGCTGTGGAGCGAGGCGGCACTGCCACGGCCCTGCCCTTGGAGCCAGCTCATGGAGGACCCGGGGAGAGGCCCAATGCTGGCCAGCGTCTGTGCAGGAAGAACAGTAAGCACACTCATGAGTCATCCCTCCCTCTTTTGTACTTCTGCTTAGAGGAATATAATTTGTTAATTTACGGTAGTTGTTAGGGCTCAATTAAAGATGCGGACATAGAAGAGGCTGGCTGCGCTTGGTGCCGTGACATGCCAAAGCCAGGTAAATCCAACCGTGTTTTCACATACAAAGATCTGCCAATGGTTCCAAACAAGGCCGCACATCATACAATTAGCCTTGGCAAACGAGCGGTAAACAGATGGACAACAGTGGATAATAAGCACTTTCCCCAGCCAAATGTGGGTTTTTACCAACCGGCCTGAAAGGCGAGCATGGAAGGCCCAGGTAGGGCTTGCAGATCCAGTGATAAATGGAGGGACGGAAGTTACCTTTGATGTAGAAATATAAATAAGGAAGTAAATCAACAGCCTCCATTGGCTTGGGGTTTCTACACAGCGGGGTTCTCATTGCTAAAATGCCTCCATGCTGGATTTATTTTTGGGTTTTCCAGCTACACAGAAACAGCCACGTGAAACTGGAGGGGTGATTGTACCTGCTTCCTGAACTAGTTTCCAGCTCAGCAGCTGCTGTACCCACCTCCCTCTCTGTAGATTACCAGGAAGGCCATCAGAGACAGGAATGGGGTCATCGGAAACACTGCCTCTCCCCTGGCTTTGATAAAGACATCTGTGTCATCAATACGTCTGTCCCCTCTCCCAGGGACTCGAAGGCTTCACTGCCAGGATGTGCCAGGCACTGTGCTCATCAACCCCAGGAGACTGGCACTCTTAACCCTACTGTACAGATAAGGAAACTGAGGCTGAGACGGACACTATGAACTCGAGTCTATACAGCTGCTAAGTAGCAGAGCTGGGACTCTACTCCAAGTCTACAGGACTTCCTGATTTCCGGGCCTGGGATACCATGCTCTGCTGTTTCCTGGAAAGCAAGAAAGTCTAGAGTCTAGCGCTCTGGCTCCTGCTACAGTCCAAACCCTGCACCCCACACAGCAAGCTCCCTGGGATGCTCAGAGTCCAATTCAGAAACTCTTCCCTGGATGCCTGCTCTGTGCCAGGCTCTGGGTCAGGGTACCGAGACAAGGGAGGAACGGGCAGATGCAGAGTCACTCAGAGTTTCTCCAAAGATATACAGGAGTCCACCCTTATCCACGTCTTCACTTTCCATGGTTTTAGTTATCTGAGGTCAACCGCAGTCTGAAAATATTAAATGGAAAATTCCAGAAGAAAACAATTCACAAGCTTTAAATCGCACCCTGTTCTGAGTAGTGTGATGAAATCTTGCGAGTCCTGCTCTGTCCCTCCTGGGATGGGACCCATCCCTTTATCCGGCGTCTCCATGCTATATATACTACCCATCCGTCAGTCACTTAGTAGCCATCTCAGTTACCAGATCGATGTTGCGGTATCGCAGAGCTTGTGTGCAGTAACCTGTATTTTACTTATTATTAGCCCAGAGTGCAGGTAATGATGATGGCAATTTGGACATGCCAAAGAGGAGCCATAAAATGCTTCTCTTCCATTATTAGTTATTATTGTTAATCTCTTACTGTGCCTAATTTATAAGTTAAACTTTATTATAGGCGTGTATATATAGGAAGAAACATAGTTACGTAGTGTTTGGTACTATCTGCAGTTTCAGGCATCCACTGGGGATCTTGGAACATATCCCGTGTGGATAAGTGGGGGTTACGGTAGTAACATTTTGGTGTGTGACTGCAAAAGCTTTGATTTCTCCTGATGAGGGGCTGTGGGCTAACGAGGGAAGTACCCACAGGATCCTACAGCCTCTGGCTGTGGGTGGGGTGGGGTGGGGTGCGGAGTGCCCAGTGGGGGCAGAGCGGTACCTGCATGGAGCCAGATCTGTGCCAGCGTCATCCACGGGTGTAGCGGGCCCTGCTTGGGGGCGCTGCTCTGCAGAGATGAGGCCACTTCTGACAGGGCCTGCTCCACTCTTGAGGCCGCCACCGATGTGGCGTGGACAGAGCCTGTGAGAGGTTTTCGAGAAGACGGCATCAGAAGAGAAAGGGCAGACCCAACCAGTCAACCACCCGCCGCCTCCCACACACAGACATGAGTTCAAGACGTACACACACCCCCTTCCCCAGGATGTCTCTAAGTTTTATTGTCCATGAAGAAATATAGTGATTACAGCCAGAACCTTAGTTTCTGTCCTTGGCTTTAGCTAATCTCTTCGTCAACAACCAGAGCACATGCTAGGCTCAGCGCCCCCTCCAGAAGCTCGGTCTGTACCGTGTGAGTGTTGGGGGCAGGGAGCAGTATAGCTAATGCACAGCTGCGACACACCTGTTAAAACATGGCATCATTGAAGTCTACAAAATGAACGTACAAAGCGCTGCGGTAAGGGCCTAAATCTAGACACAGCATGGGGTGGCGGAAGCAATCGTACTGGCCTCCTGGGGTAGCACGTGGAGTAGGTAGGGGCCATTCTCAAGACGAATCCAGCAACTCCCCATTTATTTCATCCCCTGGCCTTTGGGAGGTGGGCAACATCCCTAGATTTGGAACCATCTTCTGGAACATGGCTTAACTGTAGGAAAAGCACACTTCGGCCGTGTGTATAAACAGATGTCTCTGCTTAAGGCGAATACTAGACAAGTGGAGGACAGGTGACAGCAAAGATGCCTGGGGCTCAGACGCTGCTCCTGCCTAACTCTTATGTGGACCCTGCTGCGCTGAAAGGTAAGGACAGGAGCAGACTGAGCACATTCACTGGTCAAAGGACTGCGGTGAAAGAACTTCTATTCAGAAGCCAAACGAGTTATGTTTGGAGACGACCTCCAAGCAAGGGCTTGTTCCCACCCTTCCCAACGTTCACTCTTGGAGGTTTCAGAACTGAGAGCAGGGACCACAGTTATTTCAAATTTAAAACCGTTGATATTTATATTCACAGGCAACATTCTTCATTTATAATTCATCATCAAGTTTAATACGGGGATAAACACTGCATCATCATTAGTGGTGACTATCAACTTATCAGAAGGTTTAGAACAGTGATAATATATAAAGACAGATGCTGACCACTGAAATAAATCGAGTTGGTTAGACTCTGGATAAGTCCAAGTTGTGAGCATAAAAGTAATTTCTGTGGGGCTTTGAAAAGCAGGACAATTTATTCATTCTAAGGGTATTTGCAGCAATAGACTGGCCATCCATGTTGTGTTTTGGGGACAATTGAGGTTGTGTTTTGACTGCTCCAACGTGAAGGAAACATGGACTCCTCTACATACATTTAAATACCTTGGTGGAGGTTTGGTGCAGGTGAGCCATGGGAGGTGGAGGGAAACCAGAGGGGGTTCCACCTTTTCTGGGTAATCCACACTCAGACAGCACCCACGAGGTCTAGCGATTAGCAGACATTGGTCCTGTCCAAAACGTCCATGGAGACATTTGGTCCACACCAAAAGGTCCTTGATATCTGGTCACATTTGCTCCTATCCTAGAAGTCCATGGAGACATTTGGTCCATGCCAAAAAGATCCTTGAAATCTGGAACCCAGGGGTGTTTTAAGTGTGGATGTTTTGGAAGGGACCAAGTATCAAGTACCTTTTGGCGTGCACCAAACATCTTAGTGGACATTGTGGACAGGACCAAATGTCCTGTGGGGGGACAAGCAAGAACAGCGTGCCCCTGGGAAAGGACCACTGAGTCCTCCAGAGTGAATGCTGTCACACAAGAAGGAGGAACTTGAGGCCCTGGAAGAAGTCACTAATTGATGGTATTGTGCTACAGGAGAACTGATGAGGTTTGGCAAAAATCAGCCTTGCTTAGACAAAATGTGTCTGACTACTTAAAAAAAAAATCTTAACAGTAATTTTGATGAAACTGCTGTCGATTTTTGGGGTCTTATTTTGTATTTAACCTTTTTTATGGAAAAACCATATTTTAACTTTGATAACAAGGACTTGACGTGCTTTCCCTGAGATTTTTAGTAGCAACTATCAGTTAAATAAACGAAGTTGCTGTTGCTATACCCTGACATTACCAAGCTAGCTTACTTTCTCACTATCTTGAACAGCAGTTCTCAACCTTGGCTTCACTTCAGAATCCCTTGGGGATTTACAAAATTCATGATGCCCGAGCCACACCCCAGACCAACTGAATCACTAGCTCCAGGGGTGAGGCCGGGCAACGTGTTTGTTAAATCGCCCAACTGATTCCAATATGGAGCTAAGACTGAGACCCACTGACCCAGAGAGACAGGAAGCAGATGTTTCTAACATTCAGTCAAGCAGAGCTCGAAGGTGTGTTCTACACGTGTCAGCCAGCTTGAGGTCTCCTGCCCTCCTGTAACTCAACAATCTGGGGAACAGTGTGTCTCAAGCTTCTGGGTCTCTGAATCCCTTTAGACTCAGAAGTTATTGAGAACCCTAAAGAGATTTTGTTTATATGGGTTGTATCTATTGATATTTACGATATTAGAAATCCAAACAGACAAGTTTAAAATAAATAGTCACTAATTTATTAAAAAAATAACTACAATAAACTACTGCTCTAGAAAAATTCTGCAAATTTTCTACCAGGTTTCTATGGCTCCTTTGTTACACGGACTTTTGACTTCTGGAGGGTCTAATTTTGCTTATTGGGTTAACTGTTTACTCGGTCCACACATGAACGAATCAGAGCTTTTGCCAAAGTACCTTCTCTTTGTGATATCTATATACAATTAAATTAATTCTCCTCATAAAAATGTTTCACTGTGAATTCTGGCAAATGATGATGATGATGACTGATAGCAGTGGTGGTTACCAGTTTTAGAGAACAATCCCTGTTTCAGGCACTTCATATATATTATCTCATTTAATCTTTAAACAATTCTTTGAGGCAGGTAACAATGCTATCTGCACTGTTTAGATGACAAAATTGAGACTTAATGAGGTTATGTAATTTACCCAAAGTCATACAGCCAGCAGGTGGCAAAACCAGGACTTGAACACTAGCCTGACTCCAAATCTAGCCTCTAAATGCAGCTCAGACACCACCTCCTCCAGGAAGGCTGCCGGGAGCCTTCTGTCTCTTCTCCCTATCACTGCTCTGTAAACAGTTAGGCCTTGGGCCCTCAGTGCTCCCAAAACACCCCGTGGGTATGTCTGCACAGACCATACCATTTTATGTTAAAGTTAATATAACTGTCTCTCCTGTTAGACTGTGTGCGGCTCTAGAAAACAGGAACCATGCCTTCCATTTAGGTATTTTCAGGGGCTATCAATGCTGGGTACATGGTAAATACTAGTGGAATGAATGAATGAATGAATGAATGAATGAATGAATGAGTACTGTCAGTAGACATGTCACTGTACAAAATTTAGAAGCGAGTGGTCCCCTCTTTGGGATACTCTACTTTCCTTCCCTAATAATGGCTCAGAGGCCAGAACCTTCAGTGTCTCAAAGGGCTTTTCAGTGTGGCTGTCATCACATCCAACAGCCTGGACTAAAAATGGCAGTGGCACATAGTTAGATTAAACACTACACTTCATTTGGTGACTTCCCCCATCTCTAATGTAACCAACTCATTTAAATATGGAACATAACTGAAGTTTATCAGAAATAGTTTTCCTTTCTAGTCAATCCCTTTTTATACACATTTCATAAGGGCAGAGACCCTTTATGGTCTTAACTGGGGGTGGATATTAGAGCATTCAGATATTTATTAATAATAGCAGGGGACTAACAATACTGGTAAAATTATTTAACAGTGAACGCCTACTATTCCTGGCAATAACACAAGTCAAATTCTTCCACTGGATTAGAATTTGAAGGAAAAAAGTATAAACATCATTATGAACCAGAATGAATATATCTGATTAAAAATATAATCAAAACAACTTGTATCTTACTGTGTCATAGGACTGAAATGGTATGTGTTAAAATAGCTACTGGGTTTTGATTTACGTAGGTAAACGACTAGAAATGCTAGTCCAGCTAACATATTTTTAAAGCAACCCTTTTCTTTCTCACCAAAACAAATGTGTTCCTACAGTGTCCATGGGGTGAAGAGGATAATTACCCTAAGGGAAGCGGACAAAGTGAAGCTTGAAAAAGGAATTACAGGGAAGAATATAAGACCTATTTCTAATTTGAAATCTAAGGCTCTGAAGAAATAAGCGTCCTAGTCATCAGGTTCAACAGGTAAGCTAGGGAGTGTCCCCAGCAGCTGCGCATCTCTTATTTATCACGTTCATTTGAGACGTGCTTAACCCTGAGGACTGAGCAGCTGCTGTGCTCCAGCAAGTCCCTGTCACAGGACATAGTGGCTCTGAAAAGCCACTATGAAACAAGAGGAACTGACAGCTAATGCGGGCAGTGAGAGCTCGGCCTAAAATCTGGCCCGGCTTCTGTGACCTAATTGCCTTAATGGTCCAGGGGGACATAGGCCCCAGAGCTGAGGAGATGGGTACTTCCTCATGCCAACTGCTTTTGCTTCCCTCACCCAGATGCCCAAGAGGAAATGTTATCTTGGACACCTGACACGGAGGCAAAGTGCCACTTGAAGGATTATTCTGATCCTAAACCCAGGGTTTTTATCTGGGCTCCCCTTGGACCACCATGTGGGGTGGGGTGGGGTGCGGTGGAACAGGGGACGGCAAGGTGAGGACCCAGGAGCTACGGTAAAGACGCATTTCTTCATAGGGTCTAGGAACCAAGCCACGGACCCTGGGAAGCTGTGAGTCAAGCTCTGCACCCCTCCCAAACCGAGGTTTTCTGACCCATGCTCCTATCATATGCCGCAGCCTGTTGAGAAACCCTGTCACAAGTAGGACACTGGGAACAGCCAGCTCAAATTGCCTTTGCAGCTGAAGCCTCTACAAAAATCCTTTTTCCAAAGCACACTACACCTGTGGTTCAATTTCACATAGACCTTGAATATGGCAATCACATGGGAACCGTATTTCACCCAAGTTCACCAAAGGGATCTCAGAGCCAATCATTTTGTTAAGCCAAAAGCATAATAAATTATGTGACTTGGTTATGTTTGATGACCCTGAATTTTCACAAACAGGGTCACTGAAAGCATGGCATATATTTATATTCCAGCTGTCCTTTTGACTGGTGGCATTAAGTGGCTACAGTCTGAAGGAAGTCCACCTTCCCTGTCCCCTCATATCTTCACAGCATGTACAAGATAAACTGGATCGCAGATGAAATCCTGTCCACTTAGTGACTTGGCGAGCATCACAGCCCAGGAACAAGGGACAACTGTTACATAATGTGTGGAAAAAATCCTCCACCAGAGACATCAGCGCACATAGCTCACGTGTGTGCTCTGGATTCGGGGCGGCTCTTTGCTTCCCAGCCCCAGAATTAACTCAGGAGCCTCCTGAGCATGAATATGGGACAATGATGGTGCACGTGGCCCCACCCCAAGTCCCATCTCTCTGCCTGTCACCCACATTCTCTCTGCCTAATGCCGCTGCAGCAGACACCTGCCTTCCCCGTGTTTTCGGAGTCACCCGCTGCGAATGAACCTCTGTATTTATATTTTCCCTCCACCCTGAAGTGATTCAATGTTATCTGTCAATAGAGTTTATTCAGCTTCCAGTTCTTAGAAGCTGTGCCCCCAAAACCATTAAAATAAGAAAGAAAGAAAAAAAAGCAGCAGTTCCACTTCTTAAAGAGCCTGAATACTAAACAGCAATCTAAATGACTAAGCATTCTGCCAGAGCTGTGCTTAAATTTTTTCATTTTTAGCAGGAAAAGAATTTGTTTCTCAAGATGAGATTGGAAGCAAAGCAGTCCAATACTGTGGACGGCTGGCAGCCCAGTGACCTTCTCACACCTGCCCCCTGTGCCTTAAGGACCAGAGTGTCCTCTAGGCTGCAGGTGGTTGGTTGCGGCTGAGTACTAGGGATGATGACCTCTTACTTTTTGAAGGGAGAACAGAGATATGCGAGTCCACTCTCACTTCAGCCCTCAAATTAAGCATCTTTTCTATGCACCCTCCTTTTTTTTTTTAAACTAATATTAAATATTTTGGTATGTCCCCACCCCCCATGGGTGTTAGGACAATCCCCATCTCCGCTGGTGGTGGTCCTGTTATTGTGAGGAAGCTGATTTGGGGTGGTGGGCTCCTTGAACTGCACTGTGAGATCTCCCTTCCACATTTCTCATCCCGTGAAAGCTGCCATCCCCCCTCTTCATAGGGTGTCGACCAAGTGAGGAGGGCGCGGGGCTGTAGCGGCTTGACAGGTAACTGCCTGGCCCCACCCACCTCCCACTGACAATGAGGCCTCCTGCGTGTGGGATCCTCTGATAAATAACTGTGGTCACCACTCTCCTAGTTGCTTTCCTTTTTCACTGAGTGGAAAAGAGATTAAGACAGCCAAACAAATCAGGACAGCCAAACCCACGGTCCCCAGACGAGATCACAATTTCCAAATGACTTTAACAGAATATCAAGCACAGCTGAAACCTGACAGGATGTGTCTTCTCCTAAAAGGGGAAAGTTCTTTCCAGGGAAAGCTTTAGGGAAGGATCCCGTAAGGCAGGGAGAGGCTGGGATATGTAGTCGCCAGTGGGCATGCGGGGGCGTGCCGGCAGGCGGCTGGTGGGTGTTGGCAGGGCCAGGCGGTCACACGGAAGCGTGGAGGGAAGCGTTCACACGCATGCAGGACGATGCCAGCTGTGCGCGAGCCGCGCCATGGCTCTGGCTGGAGACAGTACTTTCTGGGGGACCACACCGGGCAGATGCTCCCACCTCCATTGAAGCCCTCCCTGTAGCACGTTCGTGGGGCTGTGTCTCTGCACTGAAGTGCCCTCTGCATGGGGAAGGCTGTGTTTGTCTTTGAATGTGTGGGAACAGCCTCCCAGGTTTGGGCAGAATTCTAATTACTGGACATAAGATTTCTGAACTTGTATCTGAGAGCCAGTTGTTATCATCACTGACTTTTCCATCTCCTAAAATTCCATTCAGTCTTATTTAAAGGCACCATGAACTAATTAAGGAGACTTTAATTAAAATAACAAGAAAAGGTTTATATTTGAATCATTAGGGCTGAATTTCTAAAAGTGCCACCCCTCAAATGTAGCAGATCATCCATGGAATAACTTTTTCAAATATAGATTTTATATAAAAAAAACCTATTAAGCGGGAGCAGAGGGTGAAATCGACCACCTGACTGGTCACTTCCTGATCATGACATACATTTTCGAATGTTCGGAAATGCAAAGTCAATAATAAAATACTGGCCATACATAAATTCAGGCTACCCTGAATTTATTTCTCAACCTCACTGCATTTGAGAGGCGTGTTGTTTCATTAGTCTGCTTCTCTCTTCTCCCTGTGCTGCATTCCTAAAGAGAGCAGCATTTGCACCAGAACCGGTGATACGAAAGCCTGAGCCAAGAACCCAAGTCGGCATTCATGATTTTAGCATTCTTGGAGAGGAGAATAAAACATCAACACACATTATTCTCCAAAACGATGACTGTTAGAGCACTAAGAATGGGGGCGCGGGGGGTCCTCAAGTCTAAGCAGTGCCGGGCAGTGTGGAGAGAGCCCTGGGTGGCCGTGCTCCAATGCGGCTCATCCCACTGGCCGGGTCACCTTCCCCTGGGAGCCACAGCTGCCTGGGCTGCAGCTTGGGGAGAAGGGCACCCATCCGACTGAGGCCTGAAGTCAGGCTCACCGAGCAGCAAACCATAAAGGCGCGTGTGGACAGGAGAACGAGAAACTTACATCTTTACGGAGGAGGAAACTAAGGCCCAGGGAGAGTGAGCTGCCTGGGTCCTTCTGCAGAACTGGCCCGTGAACCCAGGTTTCCTGACCTTTGAGAGAGTTGGAGCTGCTTCTATGGAAAACAGAGAATACAAGTGTAGTAAAACCTTGGATTGCGAGTAACTTGGTTTGTGAGTGTTCCGCAAGACGAGCAAACATTTCTAATACCACATTTTAATGTGGTAAACGAGCGATGTCTTGCAATACGAGTAGTTTGCTTCCGGAACGAATTATGCTTGCAAACCAAGGTATTACTGTACCTTGTATAAACATATCAAGCTTCAGGAAAAAAATAGGAAGCCTCATTTTAACTAACAAGGGCTGCTTGATGATTTTAATGTAACCTGACTTTCTGAAAATCAAAAATTTTTAATGTATCTGAGGAGTCCAATGTTAAAAGGACCCGGGCAATGAAACCTTCCCCCCAAGCCCCCCAAAAAACCCCTAATATGAGGACAATACCAAACATACCTCTTTTCTGTTTTGGACTTTTTAAAGAAAAATAAAGCCACGGCTAGGCTGAGCTGAATTTCAGAGGGGAAATCAACTCTCTGGGGTATGTTTGCCAGAGCGGTGAAGGCTCAGACCTTGAGCGCGTTGGCTCACCATTAGCATTTCCCAAGATGCAGTCCCTGGAACAGTGATTCCACAGGGTGGAAAATGACGCAATCAGCTGGGGAACACTGGGTCAAAGTGAAGGGAGCCTTGAAGTTTTTGAACTGCCAGGCTTCTCAGAGCCTTTCATGTGCTAATGTGACTGTGAGTCTCTAGGAGGGACATGTACTATTTCCCCAAAATATCTGACCAGGGAGCATCCGTTGTCTAAGAAACATCCTTTGGAAAATGTGATAATTCACAAACGCCTTAAAAGAACACCACCGAACACACGAGGCCTACACCCATGGAGTTGCTTCATCTCCTTTAAATCTTGGTAGATGTCGTTGAAGTTGTATAATGTCTGTTTAGCTTATTTTAGGAAAATGAATGATTAGAATTGTGTTTCTATGGAGCAACAATGGTTGAACGGGAAAGGAACTTTAAGATTCAACTGGTTCCCTCTACCCCAAATTTACAGACAACCCGCACCGGGGAGACTGGTGCCCACACTTCCCCTCCCCAGCACACCTCACTTGGGCATCCTTCCCGCAGTGCCTCCTTCTGTGGTCCTTCCCACACAAGTACTGCCTCCTCGGCATTTAAACCCAAGCTGCAGCGGAAGCATTAGAATCCCAGGAGAGACGAGCCCCAGGTGGCGGGGTGGACAGGCAGGTGGCAGCTCAACATTCTCAACAGTCAACAACCAACAACCAACAACACACGTTCCATGGTGGAGGGAAGCGTGATTCTGGGGACCCTCAGGAAGGTTAACAGATAGATTGGTAAACTACTTACTAACTGAAAAAAGGGAGGGAAAACCATGAAAGTATACTTCTGGAGAGTTGCCTTGGAACAACAAATCAAACCAAAAATTAAAACCAAGAAACGAAACATTTGAAAAATCAAAATTATGGCTAAAAAAGCAAATAGAGTTCTAATAACCTTCCAACTGCAAGTCTGGCTGTCCGGAATCAGGTTTCAATTCAAGTGTGACACATTTCCCCATGAACAATGATTGTTTTTTTTTAAATAAAAAAACGGCCAACTGGGCATTCCCCTCTACATTTTAAATGCTCACCCAGCACATGAAAGTTGAACAATTCATGTAACATGTTTTGTTTCCAAGGCGGGAAATTCCAAAGGGAAACGGAAAGTCATCAAACAAGTAGTTTTCAGGTCTTTCCACATATTAACCCTGATTATGATTCAACAGTTTGTGGGGTTGGGCTAGTTTTCATTTCAATTAGGTCAAAGGATTGGAGGGAGGCATTCATAAAACTTTAGGTCTTGGCTAGCTGTCCGAATGGAAAGAGTTGGGATTCAAATTCATAACAACTTTAATTAGGAAATTCTATATTTATCAGTAACATATGGTATGCATTCCCCTTCTCTAACTAAGTGTTGCATCTATGGGGGAAAAAACACTCTTGGACACTTCGGACTTAGTTAAAATACCTGCTTACTGGCGAGGTACTCCCTAAGGGGGAAAGATGAGCTTCACAAAATATAAACAAATGAGCACTGCCTGGGACGCAGTACATTCAGCAAAAAGCCCAGCGGGTGCTCAGCACCCTGACAATTAACTAATTAATTTGACATAAGTGCCTCACTGGACGAGACAGGACTTTGATCTTAAAGGAACACAGGGTCCCTGGGTGGCAGCGTGATAAATACTGGCAGGGGGTGGAGGTTGGTGGGTTTGCTCTGCCCACAGGAGTGGACAGGGCAGTGGGAACATATAAAGTTCTTCTGGAACAGTCAGATCCCATTTTATGATTAAAAAAACTGGTCAAAAGTCAACATAAAAGACAATTTTTCTGGAAGAACTGACGCTGGCAATTGCCCCTAGGCATTGTTTTAAGGGAAAATGTCTATTTTGAGAAGTGGATTAAAAACAACATAAGCAGTTTATAAGCATTCTCTTCATCTTCCATTTCATAAAAACTGGGATTGCCATTAAGATAAAGGTCAGAACACTGAGCATGCAGAGAAGTAAGGTCAGTGAGTTTCTTGGTTTGGCTGATGTATTTTAGGTGATAGCCTCATTCTGGCCGTGTGTGTGTGTGTGTGTGTGTGTGTGTGTGTGTGTGTGTGTGTGTAACACAGTAGGTTAGCCATCTGAAAGACGACTACTTTAGAGAAAGTAGCTCTTTCTGGCAGTAGTTCCTCTTATGAGCTTTTGTTGAGCATATAACTGAGCATTTGGAACAAAGATGAGCCCTTATAAATCATGGATACAGAGATTAAATTTTCTGGCCGTGCTGCCAGTAAAGTGAACATGAAATAAATGAGTGAAAGAAAACAAGGGTGGGCTCTCCTGGTGAGCCCCATATTTAGGGACCATTTAAGAGCTTCATCAACCATTGTTTCGTTTTAATACAGGGATTTTGTTTTCACTGACATGTCCTGAACATCCTGAAATGGACTTTCAAATCTCTGTGTCGTTTAAACGATTAGATTAAAATAATGTTCCATTTTTCTGCATGGTTTCATGACACAAATCCTGTTTTCCTTCCTTGGAAATGAAAACCAATTTGTAACACTGTTTTTCAAAATGTGGTGCCTAACCCACTGGCACTGGGATGATAAGAGGGTGTTTTTTATCAACGCGGATTCCTGGGCTCCACCTCAGGCCTACCAAGCTCTGGGGTTGGGCCCAGGGGGTCTACAGTTTCAAAGCTCTCTGTGTGGTTTGAATGCACACAGAGAACCACATATTTCAAGGGCATATGACCGTTATCTTTAGAATACTAGCTTGATTACCATTGACTTGTCAAACGAATTTCTAACTTGGAAACCAGAAATATTTAGGAATAAATTATCGTTTGCCAGTTGTTCTAATTTGCCTTTTTAAAAAACAGAATTTTGATGTGTTTATATTAACTCCGGGAAAGCACAGAAGTACCCGAGAACTAGGAGTGATATTCTAGAAAAGCTTCTATTTATTCTGTTTAAAAAACAGATTTCCTTTCCTTTCCAAAAAGGCGGCTGGATCTTGGGCACCAATATCTCCTCCCGCTCCAAACAGCTTTTGGATTTTCAAATTAGCAAGGTTTTCTCTCAGATGAGCTTGATGCAGTTTCTTATCCAGCTTATCAGTTAGGAAGGTTATCAGAAAATGAAACATCAGGCAAATGAAACAGATCTAACAAGAAAGGAAAAACCATAAACCATGTTTACACAGAGAGGGTTCCCGGCGGGGACCTGGGTCACTGAATGAATGAGCTGCTGGGGGCCACACAAAGGTATCGGGTTTGGGATGAGAATGAAGATGAGAAGATACAAACAGGTGGAGAGGAGATTCGGTTCTTGAAAGAGAAGAGGAGGAGGAGGAATCTGACACTAAAAAGGTGAAAGAGAAAAAAAAAAGGATAAAGGCAAAAAAAAAAAACCTTTAGAAACACAAAGAAAAAAATAAACTAGCTTTTAATATACTCACATAAGCTGCAAAGAAAAGGAGGTCATGTAATACACAATCATTCCTCTACTTGACAATAGAATACAGGTATTTTTCGAAGAAAACAAATTTGTTGTTTTTCCACTGGTTATTTAATTGTCTGGAACCACATCATGGAATAAAAATAACTCAGGTTTACCTGGGCAGACTCAGCAGTACGTTTCACTAAAAATACCACATCTTTAACCTACAATAGCCAGGACATTCTGGAGGAAATGACTTGCTTTTCAGTTGGAAAGGGTCAGAACTTGACTTTTCTTAGATTTTTATTTTATTTATTTATTGTTTTATGAGAAGCACTTACATAAAGCTTATCTGAAAACTAAGGTTTTCCTCGGTGTAGACACTAAGGTGCAACAAGACATCTTGGTCCCAGCATCCTGACAAGGGAGTGCTAAGCTCCCTTTCTGAGCTGGTCTATGGTTGGGTTCACTGGCTGCCGCCTTCACGTCTTACAGCTGGAGAGACACCCAGCGATGGGAGACCATCTCAGAGACACCACCCAGACAAAAATGGACCCAACTTTCAAGTTCATGGAATTATTTTGCTTTGGATAGGTGACCAGTAATATCTGCCAGTGATTAAACATAAATCCCCTATTCCACATCCTGTTTCAGAGGCCAAAGGAAGGAAAAACGTTTTTCATCCTCTATTTAAGGAACTACCAACTATTGCAAAGAAAGGACGATGGTTCATGGCTTTGAAGTTAAGACTGTCACTCCATTTGAGTCCTCTTTTTTGATGGTTGGGACCATCAGATGACAGAGGTAGGGGAAAAGGAGAGCCAGAGGTGATATTAGAAGGGAAATGATTTTCTTCAAGGGGGACTTTTTCAGCTTGCCACATCCATTTAGTAAAACCAATGTCCACTCTATTAGCCACAGTGGACGTGGCCAGTCCGAAACTTCTAGACATGGGTTCCCCTTATGTTATTCCACAGATCTGCATGTGGACAATTTCAGAGGTGGAAAACCATATTCTAGTTAATGAACCACTTCCAAAATCAAGAAACTGAGCCTGCACTTTATGACCCAGATGTATAATAATGGCATTGTGGTTATATTTTTAAAAAGTTCTTATCTGTCTGACATATATACTGAAATTCTGACACGCGAAATATGATGTCTGGGATTTTCTTTAAAATACTTTACAAAAACTACATGTGGGGTAGGAGAGATAGATGAAAAAAATACTAATTGCTGAAGGCTGGCGGTAGGCACATGGAAATTCATATATATTAGTATCACTCTTTTGGTATATTTGACATTTTTCCACAATAGAAACTTAAAAACTAAATAGAACATAAATTTTAGTTCTGGAACATAAAAACAAGTGATCCGCGAGGGGCGGTGGCTTCACAAAGGAGTCAGTGCGATTCAGAACTGGCAGGCTCATGACCGTGCAAGTCCCCATGGCTTTGGCCACATCCCTGCCGACACTGTCCGGCATTGCTCGTGTCGGATGCCTGTGCTCTTTAAATGAGGGAATTCAGTGAAGCGCTGGGTGTGGCGTGGACCAACCCTACTGATAAGCTGTCACCACCAGGGCTGGGTGCTCTCAGACCACAGCCGACCTCACACTCACTTGGGTTTGATTTGGGACCATTGGTTACCGTGGATAAGTCCCTTCTCTCTTTTTCTCTCTAACCCAGTTGCTTTCCTAAATGGGCAGTAGATATTCAAAACGAGCCAGTCTCCTTCAGCACCATGAGAACTGACAGCTGTGACAAAGAGCGGGAAAATGGCTGCGGTAATGCTGGATGGGTAAGTCTGGAATGTGAAATTTGTGGTTCGTAAAATACGTCGTTGTTGTAGAGGAGAATGAGGACAGTCTCTATGGATGGATATGGGGGGTCCTTAGGATATGCTGTAAAGTGCAAAGTGCTGGGTGCTGAACAGCGTATGGACCACGCTATTTTTATGTAAGGGGGCTGGGAAATAATATCTATGCGCATCTGCATGAAAAAACCCTGGAAGAGTAAACAGAAAAGCTAATAAAAATGGTTACCTTTAGGGAAAGACGAGATGGAGGGGCAGGGATAGAAGCAAAACTTCTCTGTGGCACCTTCTGCATGAGAGTTAACAAAACCTGTGGGTCGTTTACAAAACAGGCCATCCCCACAGGTGTACAAGGAAGAAGGCGCTGGCCTTCTGCGCTGCCCGCTGAGCCGAACTTACAGTGCTGGCTTTTGTTAATCAAGATGGAGGCATCTTTCCCACTTTCAGGTGAGCTTCCCTACTTTTTATGTCTCTTTGATTTAAATTATCCTTTCAGAATATTTTACTCTTATTTACAACCCGTCTGCAATGGATAAGGCCTGCTAACATGGCCTCCACTTTTCTGACTCCCTGGCCTCCTGAGTAAGTAACTGGTGGTATGTAAACCAACACTGCGGGGCTCTGGGAGCAGGGCTGGCGAAAGGAGTCTCGGAGGGATTCCTGCGGATAGCACAGCAACAACAATGATAAAATGGTTACTGGCCAGTGCCTGGCAAGCTGTGGTTTTCTCCTGTCGTTCAAGGGCACCTCCACCAGCAATCCGGCTCCAACGCCCTGGGCTCCCAGAGTGAGCGAGAGAGGGAAGCATCAACACCACTAAGGACAAGGGGGTAGCGACCCCCTGACTGTGCCACATAGACACGCCTCACCTGGGCAGTACGGCCTCTGAGAAGGTTTAACCTAAGAGGGAACCTCCTGAGGGCTCCAGGGAACATGTCCCCAGGGGCAGAGGGGAGCATGGATAGCAAGGGCCTCACTTACTTTCTGCCACTATCTGTATTCAGTGTGATGTGGCATTAAAGTCTTGGGGAAATTAAGGTCCACGCCGGAGGAGGAAAAGGGGTCTGAATTTAGTACGACTGTCCTCACAGGATCCTGGGGAGGGGCCACAGGAGGAAGACAGACCTGGGCAGCCACCGCAGCTAACTCAGCGTCACCTCCTCTTCTCTGTGGGTCAAGCCTCCCCTTGCAGGGGCTTGTCCTGACAGCCTGACCTTCCCTTTACAGTAATGAGGATGGTTAGACAGTGTCTCTAGCAGGACTGGATGGACCCATGAGTAGCACTTGGCTGAGCTATTGCATCAGAGTCTCTGGCTGACTTGCTTGCAGTCTAATCCCACCAAGGACTGCTGATCTACCCCTCCAGGGGTCGGGCCATCGCAGGGAAGACTTTCTCTATGGCTCAGTCAGTCTGCATGTTGAGCAGTGGCTGCCAGCCATGTGAAACTGCCCTAATTTGCAATTTGTGCTGCTCCCAATGCCCAGTGCTCTTTTGACCTAGGAGCCCCAGGGCCCTGGGATTACACTTCTTAAGTCAACTTTGAATTGGTGAAAGGGAGCCTAGCATAGGAACGCAGTCTGTAGGTAGCTGTGAGGATGGGCTTGAGTATCACCCCCGGCTCCCAGAGGCCCTAGCTCTCCCATCCCAGCTGAGATTTTCCAGGAGATGGCTGTGCATGCCTCAGGGATGCTCTCTAACTTTCTTTGGAAGGGCTTGGTCAAGAGCTGGGACCTGGCCAAGGGCAGAAGAGCCTGGAGGCTCCTTTCATGATGCCAGCCCACAAAAGACCAGGCACACCCAGGTGGAGATGAAGCCTCTCACGGGCCCCAGTGGGGTGCGGGAGAAGCAACAGAACTAGGTTCCAAATGCACCAGAATTACCTTTGAGGCTCAGAGCAGAATGCATTTCTGTATATTTTGTGGGTCTGTCGAGTCCTCCAAATTGCCACTGAATATCACTATTAGAATTACTTGTTTGGACTGCTGGGAATTACAGAGGTGTATTTATTACTCTGTACTTAGGCAAATGTGGAAACACAAACGCCAAGGTGTAAATATTTGCTCAGAGGCAGGAAGTGCTACAGGCCTCCATGTGGGACCCACAGAATTAGAAGCTCAGAACCCACCTGCCTCCCTACAGGGTCTTTTGCTGGATGTATGTGTGTTCATATGTGCAACTAATTAGAAATCAAAACTCGACTTCAGTAAGGTCTGAAATCTAAAGCGAGAGGGAGAAACAGAAAGGCAGAGGGGAAGCTTGATGGAGAAGGGAACAATCTAATTTTAGTTTCGAATTTTAGACTCCAAGAGCAAGGGGAAAAATAGAAAGATTTCAAAGAGTTCTGTTGGGCATGCAATATTACTTTCCCCACTGTGAACAGGGACTTGAGAAAGATACCACAGAAAATGCACCTTGAGAGTTTTACCAATTTGCATGAGAGTTTTCCCAGCCCCCAGTCCCTGGGTGTCTTCACCCCACATCTCTTGGGGCCAGGACCCACAGTTGATGCCATTCCATCCCCTCTGGCTATTTATTCTCACCTGTCTCGGGATCGCTGAAGTCTGGCAAAGTGATTGTATTAAGCTGTCGTCTGTCAGCAATGGTTCTATCTAAGAGGCTGCTCCCACGTCCAGAATCACTGCAAAACACAGCTAGAAAGTGTCAGTCATTTGAAGGGTGGGCGGGGAGGAAACAGAATCAACCAATACCAGCTCCTGAAATGCGTTTTTGATGTCCTTCAGCACGTTTCCATTTATTACACGGCAGCCTGCTTCCTGCCCAGCCTGGGCTGGGATTCCTTTCAGCATTCAAGACCAGAAACACGGCTTAAACCATATGCACAGACCCTTGCTAATTTTAGCCTCTCTTGAGTCCTTATAAGATATAAAAATAAAAACTACAAGCCAGGCTCTCCATCCACCTTACAGGGGAAAAGGGCATTCCATGCTTCTAAGTCTTAGAATGCATCAAGCCCAAACCCACACTCCTTGAATAGTCTTTATGAACCTGGGACCCTCAACACCAGTGCTCCACAGCCCTCGCTGCACAAGAAAATCACCCGGGGCGTTTCTAAAAAACACGGATCCCAGGTCCCATTCCAGCATACAAAAAAACAACAACAAAAAACAACCAACAGAATCTCTGGGGCAGTCAACACTTTTCAAAGCTCCCCAGATGGGTCTAATGTACAGCCGGACTCGAGAACCCCAGGCCCCTACTTTTCAGAGGGCGAGCACAACCCCGGGCTCGTTTGTGTTGCAGAATAAGCCTTTCAGATTAATCGCGTGGCTGATGCTCCTGTTTAACAGATGAGGAACAGGGGGTGGGAGGTCACTAAGTCAGCTGGAGCTGCGGCCCCCATCCAGTGCTCCGGAGCTGGAGAAGGTCAGATGGAGGGGACAGCAGGCTCCTGGCACCAGCCTCAGGGCGGCTGCTCCTACCCGCTCCCCGCCTTCCACCGCACACACCGAGTCCCCCGCTCCGGCTTGCTCCCACGTGCAGGACCACATCAGGCCTCACTGGAATGAAACAGTTAAGGGACCTCAGCTCATACAGACTCTTGTTTCTTGTTTTGTTTTGTTTTTAATTCTAAGAAGCTGGTAAGCAAAAACAATTGCATTCTCCTTTTTGCCTCTATCATGATATTCCATCAGAGAGGCTCCAAAAAGAAGCATATCTTTCTCTTGAGGTTTGAGTCCTTAATGTTTTTCTTTGAAATGTTTTTTTGTCCCCCCCACCCAAATCTGGGGGCTTTAAGAGTGATTTTTTTGTTGTTGTTAAGAAGTTCAAATTCTACAATAAAGGGACACAATTTCCTTCCTCTAGGCAGCTGTTGCTAAAAGTGGTTACAAACAAGATTTGGTATGAAACTTAATATGGTTTCCAGGCTGCAGTTTCCACATTCAGTGATGTAGTTAGAGAAATCCGCAGGAAACAGAAGGAAACTTGCTTTAGTTACAGACTACTTGTCAGCCTGTACTTATTACATCATTCGGTACATGTTTTTTTTGGAAACTGTTCTATTAATTATTTCCACAACTAGAAACAATACAGGTCTCTGAGCTGAAAGCAACACAAATGTCCATGCAAATTTTCATTAATCACATTACTGACTAAATATTTCTAGCACTGGTCTGTTCATGTATGTGTTTTTCCTATAAACATTACAAAAAATATTACAAGAAAATCTGAATATTGCAATAGCTCCTCACTTAGTTTTCCGGAAGACATCATCTCAAAATAGGGTGCTAATTTTCATCGCCTTGGGGATTCTAGGACACAACACCATGAGGTGTTGGCATTGCAAAGAACGGTTTCGCCTGGCTTTTGGGTGGACCAAATCTGAGGGAGTGGATCAGAAATGTCTGTTTCAGCCATAATCCTGCAGGCTTTCCATCTCGCCGAGTTTCAGAGCACAGGGCTGGCTGCCATGTGTGATGCTGGGTCCTGGAACGCAGCCGGGAGTCTGGGTTCTTATCCTACATCTGCCCCTAACAAGTAGGTCACTTTGGGCAAGGCCACTTTCCCTGAGCCTCTGTGACTTCCCTGTCAGGTGAGGATACGGATTATCTTCCTACATAGAACCATGGAAGTCTGACCTGAGGTCATGAGGTTTCACAGGAGTGATAACTCCTAGGCACACGCCAGGTGCCATTATAAACACATGTACCTACACATGTGCACCTGGGGTTCGTAGGGCTGGCTAATTTCTGAACACAACTTATTCCCAGCCTTCTGGTGCAATGCTAGGTGTAGGGAAGCCGAGGTGAGGCCCTCCTGCAACTCCAAAGCTAGAAACCCCAACTGAAACCGAAACCTTAACTTGTGAACGTCACTCACTGAAAATGACAGCATCAATTTCCCCTCAACCTGCTGAAACTACATTCAGTTACATTCCTCAGTTTATCTTCCATAGTTCCTTTGGAAAACAGTTCATATGCATAACGAACTATTCAAAATGGAGGTACCTTTGTTTCCACTCTGATTGTTGTGTCTGAGAATTGTGCTGCATGCTTTAAGCAGCTTTTAGTTCTCCATTTCTAGGCTTCGGAATTTTAACCAATCAAGATCTGCCTTTGCTATTACCCAAAGAATGTGGACGAAGAGGCAAAGGGAGGCCTTGGCCAACCTTGAGTCTCCTTAGCTCTCTCACTGTGGCCAGTCTCTCTCACGAAAGCCTGAGAGTTGCCTTCCTCTCTCACTCTGGGTCACTGACTGCTTGGGCACCTCCTGTGACCTGATTTTCCCCTCGCAGCCCAGTTATCTCCCCTCCTCTCTGCCTGGCCATTAGGCTGCCAGAAGCACCCCCCAAGGAGGGCGGCAGGAAGGGAAAGAAAGCCATTCCTGGGCAGGAGTGTTAATAGAGGATTTAGGGAGAGAAAACTGGAAGGAACCCCAATTCCCTGGTGCATAGGCTGAAATTACCCACATATGGAGATGTACACGTCCAGGTAATTTCTGTTCCCCATTAGGACTGAAAATTCAGAATAAATTGCAATGATGGTTAAAGTTATAGTGGTAATCGGAAGCTTTTCTTGGGAATCCTCTATCTTCCATAGCCACACAGAGGTTAAAAACAAGAGGCAAGCTGGTGGGGGGCTAGGAGTCAGAACCCCGGAGTTCTTGTCACAGCTTTGCCTCTCCCCAGCTCCTGAAACAGGGCCTGGCACACAGTAAATACTGGATGTAAGAGAGAGGCCTTAGATAGGAAACGCAAGTGGGCAGGCGGGAGAGGGAACACCTGTTTTTCTCCAGGACTCTTAAGGCTGGGTTGTAAGAGTCAAGGTGAGCACCCAACATCTCTGAACCGCAACTTTCTCATCCATAAAGTGGATCTGACATAACATGACATTTGCCTGTTTTCTTGGGCTACTTTGAAGATAAAATGAGAGCCTGCTTTGTAAAAGAAAAAGTTCCACCAAAATGGTCGTGACTGTTAGTGTGAAATGGGGTCTCCAACTTCCAACTGAGCTTAAAGCAAAGCAATCGTCTTAAAAAAACCCAACGACTTTATATGGTATTCATTAGTAAGTGACGAAAGTAAGAATCAGGAAGAAAACATTTTCTTCCAGGCTCATGGTCCCATGATGGAGATGGCCCAAGAGGCAGTGAGGAGAGGGGGAAAGCAGTGGTTAACAAGAATAAGTAAAAACAAAGCAAGAGAAGTTGGTTGTCAGCTCAGAGAGGGAGCATGAATGGTGGAGGGAGCTTTAATGTTAGACAGGCCTGGGTGGGAATCTTAGCTCTAAGATCTACTTAATTGGGAAAACTTGGGCAAGTTATTTAGTCATGTTCAGGTTCAATTTCATTCTCCATGAAGTGAAAAGAGCGGTAACTATCCTGCAAGGCTAAGGCTGGGGTTAAAGGTCACATACACACGGCCTAGTACAGTCCCAGCAGAGAGGGGACCACGATCCCGAGCTGAAACGCTCTGGTGTTCAGATCAGGGAGGATGCTGGGACCTCCTGGAGAGGCTCCGGCCGGAAGTCACACTGCCTTAAGTGGCCAAGTCAAAATGCACAAGAACTGAGGGGGCCTCGGACACTACTAAGAGAGAGGAGATAAGACACGAGACAGATTTCTCTGCAAGCAAAATTCTAATAGAAGCCAAACTGCAGACCTGGGGAAAGAAATCCGGGCTTCTGAGATGACAGACACCTTGCCAAATGTACACGCGAGAGAAGGCCACCCACCAGTGTGCTCGCTGCGAGACGCGCTCTCAGACTGCAGGTGGAACGCTCTTTGCAAGCTGGCTAAGGCTCGGTTCAGCGACCAGCTCACGGTGATTTTCCTTCAGGTGAAAATAAAAAGGAGGAAGGCAACGGCAGAGAACACGGAGCTGGGCCTAGTCTCAGTTTGGCCCCGTTCTCGTCCACGTCATCCTCTGTGCCTCGTCGTCCCAGGGCTCTGGAGGCCCGTGTCAATCTCAGGATGGAGTTGGGAGCAGGTGGGGAGCATGAAGAAGCCCTGGCGGGCTGAGCAGAGGCGCCGGCACAACCGATCAGGCTCAGAAATCAGGGCGTCCTGGGCAGGGACGTCAGTGTGGACCTTCTCCAGGGAGAAACCAACCGCCTCCTGCCAAGATGCTTCTGCTCAGTCGTATTATTTTAAGCACGGATGCTTCTCGCGCACTTGGTCGTGAGAGTCTACGCTTTTCTAGAACCTGGTGTGACCTGACGGTAGACTCAAGGCTGTTGGACCCAGGGCTGCCTTTAGCTGGAGGGCTGCGAAGAGGACACAGCCCTCCCCTCTTGATGCTTTATTCTCTTGCCAGGGTCGCGCCTTACTGGGGAGGAAGTCTAAATTTGCACAATGGTAAGGGCCACAGGAGAAACATGTATTCGTATCCCAGAGAAAAGAAAGTTACACAAACAAACATAGAGGAAGCTTCTTAATAAGGGGCTGCTTGACTACCCCCAGCTCCCTCAGGCTTTGGGAGTAGCTGGAGGGGGAGGGGCTGGGGGCGCAGCTCTGCCTTGGGTCCTCCTCCAGCCGCCCTCACCCGCCACCCAGACACTGCGCCTGGAGCCAGGTTCCTCCCTGCCCTGGTCCCTGAAAGATCCTTCAGGAAATGGAGGAAGTATGGACACAGCCCAGGCATTTGCTTAAGTATTTTTAAAAAGCTTTCAAATTCTGCTATTTTTTTCTCCTCACATTCAATATTCTTGGTTGCTAAGTGGGAGGAGATGTGGGGAGGTGGGAGAGGTGTGGAGAACTGAGGGAAAATTGGCAACGGGAAAGCTGATGGATTTATTTTCTCGTTTCTAAAGGCAGTCCAGGCAAAAGAATGCGCCCCAGTACAGAAGCAACCAGCTTGGGGAGTAGCTCCAGTTGGCTGGGCTCATGGCCGAGTCTCCCCCAAATCCTGCTGCGTCTCATAGGCCAGCAGTGAGGGGCTTTTAGGGAGAATAAAGATGGGCATTTTCTATTTCTGCTTAAAGACTTAGGAAAGTAGAATTTTTTCAAAATGAAGATGATCTTTATTTTCAGAACAAACCCACAAAAAAGAAGAGGCCAGTCTCACGATTATCTTCTCATCAAGAGGAAGACGGAGCACAGGGCACAGTGACGTGCCACAGGCTGTGGTTCTGAAGGGGACTCTCTCGTCTAACTCTTGTGACCCCACCTCTGCAAGGGGTCGTGTGGCTGCCTGCCGGGCGTGGAACTGGACCGGGGGCTGGTGTTCCAGGACGAGCTCCTTCCCGTCTAACTGCACTGCCCACGGGGCTTACGGTGACAAGTCTGTTCATGTCAGTTCACAAGGACCCACCTCTTCACAGGGCTCTGATTTTGAACTTTTTAAGTTTTTTTTTTAAACTGCGGAAACTTTGCAAAACAAAATCTCACCCTGAACCCCACCTGTTCTCTGCTGCTTCTCTATCGCCCATCCCACCTTTCCTCTTCCCCAGGCCAGCAGCTGCTGTCCCTGGCCGCCAGCCCCCGTGCCCGCCTCCTGGTGGGCTGGACTGGGCAAGCCATGCCCTTTGTACACATTCACCATTTGACTTACACATTTTTTAGGCTCCCGACTGTTCAGAGCATAATGTGGGCTGTCCATACATCTGGCTATGAACTTGAAAACTCTTTTGAGTATATGAGCAGTTGTTTGAATTCACTTGAATCATTACATCCCTTTTTATTAAATTACTTCCTTTATAGGGCAAGGCACACTTAGTAATCTAAACATATGCCAGGAAAAATTGCCCAAGACTTGAAAATGGACACAATAGGTTATTGGGTGTTTTTCAGTGGCATGCTGGGGGTTGACTAGTGGACCATCCCCAGATTATCTGCCTCTGCAGGGTGAGCCCCTTGGACTGACATGGGCTGACAAGGCCAGTTTACAGCTCTGTAGGCCAGAGTTAGCCTTTAGGAAACGGACAATCAGGCAAATGAATTTTGTCTGGTCGAGATACAACAGATTTCCACCCTGTAGAAAAGATAACCCCAAACAGTATATTTTATTGTCCTATAGGATATTGGTTTTGCATTTATTTGCAAATTCATTTCAGCATATCTATTTTTCAAATTCTTCTTTGAATGGGCCTTAACGTTTTATTAATTCCCTCACTAGTTAATGAGGTAAATAAAATTTTGAATACATGCTTATTTTCTATTTGTTTGAGTCATGATTTCAACTTTTTGAAAATTATACTTTATCACGCCAATAGTGATTTCTACTCTCCTTAGTAGGATGTGGCCTGTTGTCTATGTAGGTCTTTTAAATATTACTGTAAGAATTCCATCTGGAATATACAACTGGCTAGTCTATCTATAAACCATCAGAAAGATGATAAGACTTGTCAAAGAAGTTAAGAGAAATCAGATAGCTATCAGTTGTGAATTGAGCCTAGTGGGTCACCATGGCAACAAAAACAAAAGAAAACCATGATTTGGAGGCTTTATCAGCCACTGGGAGGAAAATCTGGTTAAAAATGGAGCACGGAAAGCTCCACCACTATTATCTGCTGTTCGGGGTGACCTGGTGGTACACGGTGGGGCAGACTCAACGTCTGCTAAATGCCAATCAGAGATGGCCCTGGTGGTCAGGGGCCCATGCAAAAACCACGCAAAACAGGTGCTGCTGGCCTCTTACCTGGGGTTGGTTAGGTTGTAGCAGGATTTCCATATTTGTAACATGTGCTTACAAGTGAGGAGCGCCTCATCGGGGCCCCGGCAGAGCGACTCCAACCTCACTTTGGAAAACAGCAGTCTATGGTGGGGAAAGAAAGGAAAAAAACAACACAGCTTAAACCAGACAGTCTCCACCAAAACAGAGCCAAGTGGCCTGGCTTAGACCGGGAAGCTGCTGTCCTCATTCTAGAATGAGGTGTCCAAAAGTTGGATCTAAGGGAAGTGGGGCCAACAGGGCCAAGGATTCCAGGACTCCCGGCTCCACATATGGCTTTGCCTAGTTCTCCACTAAGACAAACGCAGGCACAACGTGCCCATTTGTGGTCAGATGACATGAATCAGAGTGGCTAACTGTAATTCAGAACACAGGGATTTTATTAAGGGCATGCTTTTCAGAACAAAATCAATTTATTTGCAAAACTTCCAAAATTCATTAAAGGTGAACCTTGATTTATTTACAAAATTAAAACATTTTGTAAATGCTTTCATGTGCTGTAAATACCTACAAATTACCTTCCACAGTGACCCTCATCACGTGATGGTGAACAGATTTCATCAGCTTTGGAAAGCCTGAACCGAAGGTCCACGAAGATGGGGGCACGTGGCCAAGGCCCACCCCTCTTTAATCTTCCCCAGCCCTGCTATTTCGGGGCAAGCGCTTCACCAACTCACTCCATAAGCACTATCTTCTCCTTATTTTTGTTACCACCAATGGCTTCACCCTCCATCCAGACCCTTGAGCGCTTGGCTTAGATCCTTCTTTTTCTTGGCCGCTCAGAGTTATCCCATCTGAGGTTCTCCATCTGTCTCCCTGTAGACATCAGCGCTCTTGGTCCTGGGCTCCTCACTACTGCTACCCTTGTGGAAGTCCTAGCACGAGCCCAGATACTTTTCTGATGCTCTTCCTCTCCCCTGACTTGCCTGGCTCTAAGAAATTGTATTATAAAGATCTCCCCAAATCATTTTCATTCATAGCTCAAGCAACTACAGTACTTCCTTACTGTCTGTGATAAGGCAAAGTTCCTCACTGAGTCCTTTAAGGCACTCTGCCCACTGGTCCCCCTATTTCACCATCCCACTCTGCACCCTGCACCCCACTGGATGGACCCTTTCCTCCCATCAATAGAATGACTGGCCAAAGGCTATGCTTCTTTTGTAACTTTATGAATTTATGTGCCATGTCCGCAATCTCAGTCTCTGCTATTCCACATCTCTAATTCTTCATCAATTCAGCGAAAACCCACCTCATCAAATAGGTCTCCCAATGAGACCACGTTTATACCTTTATAGTCTCTGCTCAGTATGTATCACATTAGCTGGTTTTTATTGTTAATAATAATAAAAAGAAAAAGACAGAGAAGAGATCCTGTTTATGAAAGGCCTCCTGTATGCAGGGTCCTGTGTTTAGCGCTTTGCAAACAATATCAGTGTCATCTTTGTCACAACCCTTCCCAGTAGGTGGTGTTTATCTCCCCTTAATGCAAGAGCCCCAACTTCCCTCTGTCTGGCCTCACTTCCACAGTGCCTAGAACTGTGCTTGGAGGTCAACGGGCCTTAAACCAGCATTTGCTCACTGACTACTTTCTCTATAAACCACAGAAGATAAATAAATATGTTTCTAGTGATTTGAGTTAGACATAAAGGCAAATTTCTCAACCATGTATAATGTGACAGCCTCATTTGAAGGCACTTTTCCTCTGAGGGAGACAGAATGAGGGTGGTCATAACCCGTTCACCACCCAAGTTCAGGAATGGGTTAGCACCAACCACTCCCTCCAAATGGAATCAGGACGCCCAAGGCGATGTTGGGGGTCCCGAGGGGATGGGTCTAGGTGGCAGCTTCCTTAAACCTGGGTTTGCAGGAGCCTGAGATGATGGGACGATGGGCGAGGTGATGAGAAGGATGCAGTCCCTGGTCTACAGGCAGGTGGCCATAAAGAGTGAGGCCAGGCGTGAGACCTGGACTTGGCTTCTGCTCAAAAACATTCAAGAAGTAGAAATTTCTTGAGGCCTTTCCAGGACCACCTACAAGGAATGACAGCCACTCAGGGTGTCTGGACAGGTTTTTAAGGAGCCAGAAGCTGACTCCTGCTGATATCCTCATGAGCCCAGAAGGTGGCTGGAGTACTTTTCCATCAAAATCTTCCACCAAACTGGGGTCACCTGGGAGATGTGTTACAAAGAAGGGAGAAGTGGCCAAAGGGTCACCTGTCAGCTTTTGGTGGACACCGGAGACCTTCCTGGATGAGGGCTCGTGGCCAAGCACTTTTGGCCACAGGAGACCCCACCTAGGACCATGGCGATGCTCTCTGAGAGACACACCGAGTTCCTCTGGCTTAGTCAAGCTCAGAGCACGCCTGCCTCCATGAGGACCGGGAGCTGACGGGCAAGGTGTCCCCGTGTGGCAGGCAGCGGTGTGGCTCTAACAGCAGTTACCCACGAGCCCTTTAATGGTACCCGAAGAACCGAATGCCACAGCTCGTCTCTAAGCCTCAGCCTGGGGGAACAGTTCTGTGCAAGGCTTCTTGGCTGGAAAAAGAACTTCTGATTAACATGAAATAACAGCTTTCAAACACTTGACTCAGGATATGGAGTTGATAAGGTGTGGGCTGGATTTAAGAGAACCAGACAGGAAGAACAATAGCAGAACGTCTGAGCGTAAGTGGTGGAAAAGGCACCTGGAAGGGAAGCGAGAGGAACAGGATGAGCGAGAGACGGGCAGAGAAAAGGAGCTGGGAAAGAGAGGCGGGGAGGAGGGGCGGGGCCCTCAGCCCCTGTCAGGTGTTCCCAACACGATGGGCAGAACGCCCTGACAAGCCGGATCCTGACACTCCCATTCAAGCACAAGTGCAGCAGGAGTCGGAGGCCCTGCCTCAAAGAGACAGCGCTCCTGCTCACCATTTCCCCAGACCTCAGCTAGTTCATGAGGCGACACCACCACCCAGAACAGACCAAGTGCTACTTGTCATCATATTTGCCGAACCCTGCTCACACACTTGAAGACTGTTGTGAAACATCTGGCTGGGTGTGTGTCGCATTAGCACAGCAATGAGGAGCATACAAACCATGATTAGCATTAATTTGCTGCGGTTGATGTCCAAAGATAGTACGAACTCAATCTACAGAGGAAACCCTGAGGCAAAAAAAAAAACAAGTTATGAAAACATTTGGGACAAACAAGCGTTGGCTGCATTTCAAAATGTGGAGCTGTCACCCTGACAGAGAGGGCAGAAGAGACTGCCAGGCTGAGACCGTTCGCTGGCCATACCACCCAGGTCCAACCATGAATTAAGTAAGATGTTTCTCTAAAGAATAGTAAGAAGTCACCTGCTGGGAAAATGGTCTATTCCTATTCCCTGTCCCTGGCTCGAAATTCATTAATTAAAAAATGTTTTGTTTAGCGGCTCATTGAAAACTTACAGGATATTAATGAAGAGAAGAAACTTGCTAAAATACCAATCTGACTATTTTACTGACAGACCAAATCTAGCATCTCCCACAGTGCCTTTCATGGTTTGGTCCCTTGCCCAAGTGCTTCACCTTGGTCTGCCCACCGCCCGTCACATACATCCCCCATCAAACCATGATCAACTTCTTCCATGTGTCACCCTCCCTCCTGCCCCTGGGTCTTTGCACATGCTGTTCCTTCTGTCTGGAATGCCTTTTCCATCCATTTCTGCTTTTTAAGCATCTACTCATCTTTCAAGATTCAGGTCAAATAGCACCCCTGTAAGGAAGCCATCCGTAAGTAATACGAGGTATCCATTTCCAAATGAAATGGCAATTCCAGAAAATACCAGAGCTTTCAACTGTGGCATGATAAGCTGACAGCCAGGAAACTTCTGCTTTCAAGACAAGTAAAATAACAATAACAACAGCAGCTGTCAGACACTTTAAAGGTTTAATCACAGATTCTTACGCCAGCCCTGCAAGTTAGGTTGAGAGTTAAGTACTAGCCCAAGTTCACACTGCCAGTCATCGGTGGAACAGAAATGCAAACCCAAGCCCATCAGAGTCCAAGGCACTGGACAGGAGACAGAGGAGAATGACTTAACATAGTCTAACCATGCTATCGACACTCAGGAAGACATACGCGTACATACAGCATTTTCTAATCCACTGCCAAATATGTGACACCTTAAAAGGTGCAAAGATCTGTGTTAGCTACTGTGGAATAAAACGTGGTATAAAATATAGTCCCTTGCCCTCAAAGCATTTACAGTCCAATCAGAAGAAAAGACCTGATCACAAATCTTAGGCAGGTTTTCTGGTTTAGGGACAGGTGACGACTCGGAAACGTGAGTAGGGATGTAGGAGAACAGGGCTGCTGGGATGTTATTGCTTCTAGGCTATACCAACATGGCTCTTTAGAATACTATCACATTGTCTGTACTATTTTTGACTTGCCTGTTTCACTCAAAAGGCAGGCACATACAAAATTCTAGTCATTTGAAGGACCCAGTTAGTCAAGGTTCTACTTCTCATTAGTACAAACAGAAATAATATTTTGCCCTATTTTTGGAAGTTTAAAAAGAATCTCCAGATAGCTCTTGAAATAACAACTATGCTTGGCTAGCGTAAAGCTTAGAAAGAAGACACCATGTCCCCAGTGAAGCTCAGGCATTGGCACTGTGACTTTTCACTGGGCACCTTAGGGAATATATCAAAGTGGCATTTTATCAGAGCTAGGTTTAATATCTAATGATCAGCCCCACGCAGGCTTTCCTGACTCCCTGGAAACTGTCCCCAACTACTAGACACTCATCTCTAGTCTATCACTCTAGATTAGCTTTATCCGGGGCCCCACCCCCAAGAGTCCCAGGCTCCAGGCACCAGCCCTTAACTCATCACAGACCCTCCCATCTCCCCATCTGGGCTCCCGGTGGTCCATCTGCCTGCCTAGAAGCCCTCTCCCCAGTGCCCCTCCCACCCCAACCGTAAACACCCCATTGTCTGACATCTTCTATGAGCCCCATCCTCAGGCAGGCTCTATCTCCTCATCTCCTATGTATAAAGTGTATTTTGTAACCTGTTTGTTCCTCTCAGATTTGTACAGGTGATTACCTATGTGACAGTACC